CTTATGCAAATGCACCATTGGGGATGAGCAAGGAGTCTCTGTTGTTTCATTGATACTCAGTGATGTGAGATCAGAGGACTGTGGAAGGAAAGTCTGATGTGGGCTTTTGCTCTTGCAGTGGAAATCCTGGGGAAGGTGAGTCACTGAGTGGGTCTCATGGGATAGGAGCCACAGGGCACTGTGTCTCCACGTTCACAATGAAGTGACAGCCAGGAGAGGCCTCTGCCTGGGAAATCATGGAGGTCAGGTGGGCAGAATGTGGGGCCTGGGCAGTGACAACAGAGAATTTCAGTACAGATCTAGAGACTCAAAGGAGATGCCAGGTGACGATCACAGATGAGAAGTGTGACTTGCAACCCTGCTTGAGGAAAGGGGTGTGGAGACCAGTGTCCAGGACTTTCTAGCACACTCTTGAAGTATTTAGATATGTGAGTTTTGACATGTACACATGAAGTGGGATTTAATCAAAAAATTTTTTTTGATTTTTCGAAACAGGGTTTCTCTGTGTAACAGTCCTAGCTGTCCTGGAGCACACTCTGTAGACCAGGCTGGCCTCTAACAACAGAGATCACCTGCCTCTGCCTCCCAAGTGCTAGGATTAAAGGCATGTGCCACTACTGCCTGGCTTAATTAAAATTTTTAGTTTTGCAGCTAGTGAAAGGATTCTGTGGGTTAAGGTTCCTGCCACCAGGCCCAATAGAGTCCCAGGACCCACATCGTAGAAGGAGAGAGCCAACTCCTGCAAGTTGCCCTCTGATCTCCACACGTGCACCATGTCCTGTGCACATACTCTAAAATACTTTAGCTTAAAATTATGTTGTTTTATAGTCATTCAGCTGTGAGAAATGAAGCAGAAGCGTGGGTGTTTTTCACTGTTTCCTCCAATGGTAACAGCTTGTAAGATGCAAGCCCAACATCAGAAACAGGAAATAGACATGGAACAGTGGAGGTCAAAGCAGTTCTATCTTCCACAGTGTACCTTGTGTTGCTTTTTCTGACAGCACCATCTTCCAAACTACAGACAACTGCTATTCTTCAATTCTATTATTTTATCATTTTAAGAACTTCATACAAATGATATCATATAGTAATTGAGCCCCAAGTGATTCACTTTCCCACCGCAGAATAATTCTTTGGTGGGACACTGAGTTCCTGTGCATGCCTAGCTCCTCCTTTTACTGTTGAGTGGTATTCCCTGGAATGGATGAACCACAGTTTAACCATTCACAAGTGAAGGACGTTTGGCTGGTTTCCTGGTGTGGCTGTTATGAATAAGGCATTTGTGCGCAGGGTGAACGTGTTTTACTTTTTCAGGTAAATGCTGAGGAATGCGATTGATTGTTGGGTCATGTGGTAGTTGCCTAAGTGGGTTTCTGAAGGGCATCTGTGGGATGGACAGGCCGGCAGCCAGGGGAAGATAGGAGCTTGGGAGCTGATCCTCCAGTGGTCAGATCCCAGCTTTCAGCCTAGACAATGGTGAGTTGCTTCCTCTGGCTATGAAATGGGGGTAGATGAGCCTATTTTACAGCTAATGTGTTTAAAGCAACTTTAACTAGCATAGTAGGTGACTAGTAGGTGGTAGTTTTTGTTTTGTTTTGTTTTGTTTTGTTTTGTTTTTTTTTTTTGGAATAGTGCTAGTTTGAAGCAAGATCTGATGTAACTGAAGCTGGTCTTGAACTCTTGGTACTCCTGCCTCCACCTCCCAAGTGCTGGGATTGCAGACATGAACTACCATGCCTGACTTGTTAGTTCATTTTCTGCTGCTATGATAAAATACTGAGACTGGGTAACTTTATGAAGAACAGACTTTATTAAAAAGGGAAGGGTACATGCCATGGCTGAAGAATTGACTCAGCTTTGAGGTACTGGCAGATGGCGTCACAATATATGTAAGAGGGAGAGAACACATGGTGAGACAGGGGTGGCTGGGTGTGCCCAGGCATGCGCTTTTGTAACAGTTATTTTTTTAAAGAACTAGTCCCATGACATCTCTAAAAGACAATGCCACTGCAAGACCTGATTAATGATCTCTTACTATGCCCTATACCCCCTTAACATGGCTGCACTGGGAACAGGTGAACCCTTGGAACAGACCACAGCAGTGCTCGGTAGATAGAAACAGTTCTTCATGTGGTTATAGAGAAAACCAACCAGGCCAAACAGGTCCTGTGCTCAAGAGGTAGCTTCTAAGAGGGTATTGCCAGGCCTCTGTTTTGTCACTCACCCTTATGGAGTCCCCCAGTGCTTTTCCCCTCTCTGGAGAGAGGTCTTCTTACATTGGCCTAGGTCACTGGGCGGGCACCGCATTCCCTGATGAGGTTGGTCAAACCTATGTCACTGGTCAAAAGAATCCCAGGCAACTCTAGATCGCACCAGGCTATGCTGGTGTGGATTAGCCTCTCCAGGTCTGAGAACATACCTAGACTCACAGAAGCTGCGGTGATTTAGCCTAATGCCAGAAGTGTGTGCTGAGCTCACACTCTGCTCAAGGGACTGTGCTGGGCCATGTAAAGGGCAGAAAAACTCTCCAGCAGATCCCAGAAGCCAGTTCCAGCTACAGCTCCTCTGGGAGACACCATGTTGTAGAATAAAGATCTGCATTCAGCATAGCTTTCAGAGCTCGGGGTCTTTCCAGCTCTTTGTCATGTTTCCTTCCATGTGTCCTGTGCATGGCTGCCAATGTGCATGCCATTCCCCACAGCATGTTCTGACAGCTTCATTAGAACCATTTTAAAGGCCACACAGTATTCTGTCACACAGCTATGCTGTGGTCTATCTAACCAGTTCCTTGTGAGTGGGCAGCCAGGGTATTTCTGCTGTCAGCATGTATACAGTGCCGCCTCTTTTCGGAGTTGCTGGGGCAGGGAGGGTGCCATACTTCTTCCTTCTCCAGACCTATGGTTCTTTACTGACTACCCAGGTACTCAGGTGCTTATAGTGCTCTACCCCTAGTCCTGCCTCTGCCACCCCTGGTCCTTTGTAGGGGCTACAGTGGGGTGGAACTGGAAAGAGCAGGAGACCCATTGCTGTCCCAGTTCACTTTGCAGCTCTGTGCAGTGTGTGGCTAGATGGGCTGTCATGTTTCCATGGCAATACATTTCCATAGCATTGCTCTTACTAGTCTCCCACTTTCACCAGAGGGATGGGTTATAATGCAGCCAGGCCCCTGCTGATGGAATTTAAACAAACTAGAGAGGATGACTGCCCGAATGTCCATTGCTGGAAAGAGGGTTGGGACTCCCAGGCTTCCCCATAAAACTAACAGTAAGATCTATGTAGACCGTCTGTGATTTCTCAGATGAGCTAGGCACTAAGCAAAGGGCTTGAACTTTGCTTTTCCGGGATGCAGTAACCAGGAGAGAAACTGAGTCCCATAGAGAAATAATGTGTTTCAAGAGTGGGGATTTCAACCCAAATGTGCTGAACTCAGGACCTGTGTTTGTGACCAGTGAGCCTACCAGTCACAGAAGGAAGTGGGGAGCTTACCTCCCAGGCCTCATGCCAATGGCTGCCTGCCCTAAAGCTGAATTGAGGCTTAATACCCAGAAAGGTGATGGCTGCCATCAGGCCTCCCCTGCTTAGGCAGCACAAAAGGCCCCTTTGAAGGGTGAGTCCAGGGGCACCCCTCCTGGCCTGTTCCTGATCCAAGTATGCAGGGGGCCAGTGGGCACTTGTGGCCCTGCTGTTGAGCCAGAACTGGGCGGAATGGTTTGACATTCCTTCAACACATCACACTTGATTGGGGTGCATAGCTTGTAGACTGATGTGGTTTTGGAGCATGAAGCAGGTCTCCCAGCACCACCAGAACTCTTGACCCCCACCCCCCACCCCCCACCCCAGGCCTCCTTTCCTGAACAGTTAAGCTTTACAAATGCATTGGCTTCCCCCTCCCCATCCCTGATTGTGCACTTTGGACGAACCTTGTTTTCGAAGAAGGTAGAAGGTCATTTTCCTGTGCTCACCAGCTGCCTGCAACAGCAGATTCAATAGCACCCACTGTAAAGTCTAATCGAAGTAAACAGGAAAATACAATTTACAAGCTGGATGGGAAGTAAATACCAGGGTGCAGTTAATTTTTACACAGCGACATCTAAAACATTTCCCTACACTGAGCAGTTTGTTTTTAATTGCAGATTAGGAACTGCATTTCTATTTATTTATTGTTACCGTTACCATTACTTTTTAGACCTTCAGAGCCTCATAACCATGTAACTTTCTTAATAGGTTTAACCATAGGTGGGTTGGGATGGGGAACTTGAATCAGAGAAATCACCTTGTAAGGAATTGCTTTTCTTACATGCACTGAAGTCTGTGCGATTTCTTCTTTGCTTGGTGGGACCTGGTGGGCAGGGAGGTAAAATGATGATCTTTGGAGAATGGTAGTACCAAGGCAGCCTGGGCACTAGCTCATCTTGGTTTGGTTCACTCTGGGGAAAGGGACAAAGCTACAAAGGCCTCTAGTGTTGTGACTATGTGGGAAAGAGACACTGCTAAGAGTGGGGTATGTGTTTTTAAATACACCCTCCTGATTTGTCAGTAGCATTTGTTCATGACTAGGTCGGTGAGATGAGCCAGTCCCCAGCTCTGAATCCTCTGCCCCTTTTGATGCTGCCTCACCAGGAATCACATATTACTAGCACCTCAGAACCTGTGGTCTTGAAGGTGTCCCATGACTGGATCCTAATTTGTTGTTCTGTCTAGCATTGACTATTGGATATTCTGAGGCTGGCAGGAGTGTGTAAACCTCCCAGAGTGCACATTTTTTAGTAAGGGTATGGTTTCTTCCTCACAGGGGTCCCCTATACTACTGGGGCTGATCTATACTATTGGCATCCCAGGCTTTCCTAGTTCTGAACCCTTCTGGCTATCTTTTGTCTTCCCAGGTTGTTGACTACTTTTGGCCATTCCCAGAGGGCCTTGTCCCCAGACTGAGCAATTGATGGGAAGCTGTTTCTGATGACATCACTTCCTGGGATGCCCAGGTATCGCTTTTAGTCAAGTCTGCCCACCTGAAGATGGCCTGTGCCCACCCTACGATGCAGCCCAGTGCCTGAGGTCCTTACCATGGTGATGATCCTAAGGAGAAGCCTCATCATCCAGGGAGCGGACTCCATAGCACACAGGACCTTCGTCCCTGAACTGGTGAGGACCCTCAAGGACTGCATTTCTTTCTCCTTCTTTGTGGCTAGGTGTGCAGAGGGGGTTTGTGGTATGGCTGTGGATGTGGCACCCAGGCCTAACAACTTGGAAGTAAGCAGAGCTCTGTGAGAGGTTCTAGGCTGGGGCTATGTGGCAAAGGAGCAGCGTGGCTCAGAGGGAGAAAGCAGCTGGGCCCAGGTCAGAGATGCTTCAATGAGGGGAGGGAGGGTCATGCAAGGGCTTCAGTTGAGCCCAGCATTTCTTTCACGCCGCCTGGCTTCCAGGATGAGGGCTGTCAGAGTTGGGCCGCGATAAGGGCAGCACAAGGTGAGAGCCCCTACCTAAGGGTGAGTGCTAGATGAAGGAGAAAGAAAGAATGGCTTGGCAGCAGGGTGGCAGACTGGTGATAGTCACTGCAGCTGCCCGCTGACTCAATGACGGTAGGCTTCTGTCTTGTCACCCACCCTCCTGGGATCACTCAGTTCCTTGCCCTCTGACCAAACGGTGGTGGGCTTCACATTCAGCCCGTTGGTGGGGGTCCTTTTCCTTGTCTCATGTTGGCAAATAAATACTGCATTTGTGACTATTGTGTGGGCTGCAGTCCCTCGCTGCAGTGAATTTGGGAAATGCCCAGGACCCGCATGTGGTCTACGGGCCTTCACAAGTGCCCGTCCCATGGACAGGCATAGGCCAACAGGACTTGGAGGAACCAGCATGACTTGGAGCTAAGCCTTGCCCTGTTTGTCTCGAGTAGTCCCCAGTCTAGAGGAAGGCTCTGCCAAACAGACAGTGACCCTTCAAGAGCAATTAATGCCAACTCACAGCCGACACCCTGTTGAGATTCAGGTGTGCTGAGGAGGCTGGCTGAGCTGTAAACATATATCAGGGTGAGCCTCACAGAACTTGGGGTGCTGGGTGTGGTCTTGCAGGCTGAATAGAAGTGACTTTGCAAACACTGGGCCCAATCTATCTTATTTTCCAAAGATGAAGTTGAGATCTGAGACCTGCAGCAAGAAAGTGCCTGCCTCGGGGGCTTGCCCACCTACTCAGCTCATTTCTAACCATCAGCCCCACTTGTTGGCCCATGTGTAGGCCTCCTCCCTCAGGCTGGTGTTAGGCACCTATCTCTGAGGTTATTCCCTGGAGATACTCCAGCACTCTAGACCCTCCAGCACTGTAGACCCTCCAGCACTGTAGACACAGGGCAGAGAGAAGCAGCTAAGGTTCCTGGTTGATGGATATCTGGGTCATTATAGCAGGAGTGATGCCACTTCAGCCATCACACCCTCCTTCCAATCTGCATATAATGTGTATCTTCAATTTGATCACTTCTCACCGTTATCCCCCATCAGTCAGCCACCCTCATCCTATCTGCTGACCTCTCATGGTAACTGGGCCTCTGCTTCTGACTTAAGACCTCTTCTCTACCCAGCAGACGTGTGGAGTACCAGTCTAGTCTGTCCATCTTCTTAGAACCCTCCACTGGCTTCCTGCCTCACACGTACTATAACTTTCTGCTTACTCCATTCAGCCAAAACTGCCTCCCCTCAAGCACAGAGATGCTAGCTGTGAGCCTGCCTCAGGACCTTTGTACTTTTTCTATAGCCTACAACTCTTCCCTTAACACGATTATTTCTCTCTCTGGCCACTCAGTCTAAAATTCAATCCTGCCTGCCCTGCCCCCATACTTGCTTCTTTCCCCACATGATGTCTCTTTTTGGCTCTTACCACTTTTTAACAGGTTACCTATGGGTCTTGTGTATTGAGTGTGCTAGGGCAGACACTTAATGAATGCCAGGCATTTCATGGAACCAGGGCCTATTTCATAATAGGTGTTCAGTTAGAGTGAGTGCTCAGGTGCCCATTGTCACGGCTTCTGACCTTGATGTTTTGGTTCCTCTGTTCAATTTGTAGCTGAGGGATCATGTGTAGACGTCATACTTGTCTTTTTCATTAGTATTGACTGTCTTTTGGGGAAGGATCTGCAGGTGGTACCTAGCATGGCCTAGGGGGCTGTCCAGGGGTCCCCAGGATTGTGCTTTCCAGGGTTCCACTGTATTGTTGGCCCCCACAGCTGCCTCTGTGCCTGTCTAGTGTCAAGGTAGGACCAGCTGGGGCTAGCCACAGAGTTGGTTCCCAGCACCAGGGCCCAAGGTCATGGAAGCAGCCCTACCTGAGCCCCAGCCGGGGTCTCATGCCTTCCCTAGGGGAGGAGCCTCGTTTTCTTAGAACAGAGGTGTGGGGCATACTCATCCCTCCCTCAGGGCTCACTGCTTTGTCAGGCCCAGGCTTTGTCTTCTAACCTCTGCTCCCTTTCCAGAGAGCAGCTTTCTTGCTTCTGCTCTTTGCTGTTGGCCTGTCTAGGCCCAGAACCATCTGTCTCCTCCCCTCTGCTCCAGATGGCAGGTCAGTGGTGAGGGGTGTCCTCTTTGGAGAGTTCTTCTTGTCTGTGAGTTTGTTGACATCTCACATACTGACTGTTGGATACATTCTGGGCCTGGTTCAACACAAGTGTTGGCCACAGAAGGTGTGGCGGAGAGTACCATGGAAGGTGCTCAGGCAAGGGCAAAGGTCACCCATCTCTGCCCCTTAGATAGATGGGAACTGTGGCTCAGAGAATTCTTCCTACACTGGCCGAGCTTCTGAAGGCCATGGCCACCTCAGGGAGAAGAGTTCTGTAAGTACCTGAAGATCCAAATAGTGTCAGTCTATTGATGCCTCCCTGAGACAGAGCCTGAGGTCAACCAGTCCTCTCTGTGAGCAACAAAGGAAGTTGCTGGGGTCCTGCTTCACATGCAACACTGGTAACATCATCCTCACACAAACTGCCACCAGTTAACACAGAAGGTGGGAAACAGTTTCTCTTTTGTTTTATAATTAGACCAAGAAGATAACAAAAGCAGAGGTTAAGATTTCTAAAGGAAACAAGATTCTAGGGAGGCTGGGAGCCTTTGAGATGGCAAGAGCAGCTTTTTGAGGTGTGGTTATATGGCCTTTGGGCTCCTCCTAGTCACAAGAGGGAAGGTCTGAGATACTGTAAGTGGAAGGTTCCGTAGACCCTCCAGGGGGGACTCGGAAGCTCCGCCATCCTCTATCCTGAGTCCTGGTGAGGAACAGGAGGAGCTGTGGTGGTTCCTGCCCTTTCATAGTCATCCCCTCATTCCCTTTACACAGAACTGGTGGCATACACCTGTAATTGCAGTACTTGGTAGGTGGAAACAGGAGGCCAGCTTCTGCTGCATAGCTATTTACAGGCCAGCCTGAACAATGTGAGAACCTGTCTGAAAGCAAAACAGCAAAACCCTAATTCTGGTGACAAAGGTGGCTGGCCCTACTCCTGAGGAAGGTGCAGGAAAAAGAACAAGAACTGACAAATGCTTAGTGTATTCCTTCTGGGCTCAGGACCCCAATTCTCTGGGAGTGATAGGTATGGGTATTGGCTATGTTCATAGCCTTGGCTTGCACACTAGGTAGCCATGACCGTTCCTGGCCCTCTTTCCATAGTCTGCCCAGAGGGCTTTTTCTTCTCATGTTCCAATATTAGCCACTGTCACTGGAAAGCAGCCCAGATGTTTGACCCTGGAGCACTGAACTCCCCCAGCTCCTGCCCATTCGCCTCCATGCAGGCCAAGAGCCTGTTCTTGTTTCCAAAGTAACCACCTCCTTCAACCAGGCCAACTTTCTCTCCCAGCCTACTCCTGGAGACCAGAAGAGACAGGCAAGTGGCTGCTCTGGGCAGAGGACAGTATATAGCTACAGACTGCTTACTTGTCCCCAAACCATGCACAGTCAGTAATAGAAGAGGCACTGCCTTCTGCACTGTCACATTAGAGTGCTAGAGCTAAGGCATTTGTCCAGTCTGAAGTAGCTACATTAGGCCTTGTGCCCAGCTATCCAGGCATAGGGAATTCTCATATTTCTTGTTAGGCCAACTTGGCTCTTTGGCCTCAACAGCTCCAACCAGAGTCTCTGACTCCCATAGACATCAGCTAAAGTCTGGTGGGTTTCACCCTGGGTAGACATATGCACCTAGGGCCTCCTGCCCCTCTCTCTCAGCCTTGAAGATAGGGCTGCCCCGGCATCTTTGACTGCTTTCTTCCATTGCACTGTTCCCTTCCCGGCTTCTCTTCATCTTCTTGGGCCTGGATTCCTCTCTGCTTCTTGCTGTCTGAGTCTTACTGAGTTCTGTGTGGGAGGCAGGCATGGTACCATGCCTCTTCTCAGTTTGTGGTATGAGCATCTCCTCTTCACACTGGCTCCCTGAATACAGTGTCAGCAAAGAAAAAAGGGACTCAGTTGTTTTAGGCAGTAACCTTTTAAGAAAGGTGTGAAACCCATGGGTAAGGCCTGGTATTTTCTGTTTGCTAGCTTCTCCTTTGGAGCCTTAATTGGGTCTTCCTTGAAGTCAGGGCCTTCTTTAGTCAGACAGATGTCCCTGAAGCCTCAATTTGATTTCCAGCTTTTGTCTTTCCTACCAGGGCCTGATTCCAAAGACTTGTTTTGTGACGTGAATTGTCTCACTGAGACTGAGTCCTGATGGTTCAGGCACAAAGAGGGAGGCGTGCAAAGAGGAAACATGTTCTCGGCTTCCTTCCCTGCAGACCTCAGCCTGCAGTTGAGCTCACTCTTTTGCAGATTCCGGAAGTCTTGGGGGGCCTCACAACTGAGTCCCTTTGGGGCTCCTGAACCTTGGCTTGGCACAGGGATTCACTTATCCTTTCTTCCTGCTCTGGAAACAGAGGATCTGAAGAGTTAGAAGCCTGACTGCAAGAATGGCGTGTGCCAGTGGGAATTTTATTGTGTTCTTGGTAGACCAGGAATAGGAAGGCTTGTGTCAGCTTGGGGCCAGAAACTCCTGGATGCTGTTTTGCCCCCGTGACGTTCTTAAGTGAACCTGCCAGGGGCCAGGGTGTGCTTGGTCCTTCGACCCTAGGAACCTAAGGATGAGATGTTCTGGGGCCTATGAAGTTCTGCTTCATTTCAGAAGTAGGGCTCAGAAAGCAAGACAGGGCCCTGATCCTAGCTTGAGATCCAGTGTGAAGCCAATCAAGGTTCCTCTTCTTTTTTCCTTTTGAAATTTTATGTTCATGGATGTTTTGGCATCATATATGTGTGTACATCATGTGCATGCCTAGTGCTTGTATATACATCATGTACATGCCTAGTGCCCATGGAGGCCAGAAACGAGTATGAGATTCCTTGGGACTAGAGTTACAGATGGGTGTAAGCCAATTTGGTGCTAGAATTGAACCCTGGTCCTCTGAAAGAGCATCCAGTTCTCTCAACTGCTCAGCCATCTCTAGCCCCAGGGTTCTTCATTTGACTGCGACCATCTACAGTCAGTGTAAACAAAATGAATACTACTGGAATCAAGGTGGAAAACTCAAAGGCTGTAGAAGAGTGTGTGCATCAAGCCAGAAAGCTCAGGGCCAGGGTGAGACAGGGGTTTAGAAGCAGGTACTCAGGGCCAACTCAGTGCGCTCCCAGCTCTCCCCTATGGGCAAAGTGCAGGTGGCTGTACTCAGCTTCCTGCTCCTGCATGTGAAGCCCCAAGCCCTCCTTTGTGACACCTGTGTGCTATAGTGCACACTCACTGTGCCAGCCTTCCTGTTCTCTCAGCTTTCTGTAGTCCCTGTCTTGGGCTCCTAGCCCATCTGGTTGACACTGGGCATGGGTTCTCTGGGTAGGGCTGACTAGGACCTATCCGAGTGGATGTTGTCCTTGAGCCTGGGGACCCCATGAGCATCGAGACCTTGTTTCCCTTGGCAGTCAAGGGACCCCAGCAGGAGGCAGTCTCCTTTCCTTCTCAGAACCCTTCCCCAGAGGATAAGGGGCCTGCCTGGGTTCTGTCGGCTTCTGTACTTGGTTGTGTGGGTGGTGCAGCCCTGGTGACAGGCTCTTCTATGTCACCTGTTCTCTATTGGGTGACTTTGGTGTGGCTTTCAGTTGCACATCCTGCAGCACTAGCCATGCTAGCTGAGATGGAGGAGGCAGGTACAGCTCTTTTTAACTCTTTCTAGATATTTCAGTGGGTAGCTACAGACAGCTACATACTACAGGGCGACCTGGCCTGGTGACGTTAAGGATTGTTTTAAGCCAAGAAGAGACCTGGAAAGGGGCTGGCTATCATCAATAACCTTCCTGTCTATCAACACCAGCCTAGGTGTTCCCCTGGAAACTGGCTCTGATCTCTGTCCACCTTAGCACACATGCTCTACACCTCCACCTTCAAGTCACATCTTTCTGTAATGAAATGAGTTGTGTGTATGACTGTGTCCTCTTTGAGGTTGGAACCCTTCTTTTCTTCTATATCCTCAGTCTGGGAAGGACCATCCTGCCCTTTAAACCCCTATGGAATAAATGCACTGCTGACCAACAGCAAAGGTCCCAAAATTAGACACTGGGGATGGGGTGAAGAAGCTGGTGCCAGGTGCCTGCCACCTTATCTGGGTGGGCCAGGTGTTGCTAGTCTGCCCCACCCTCCTCCTGGGACTTTATGAGCTGGAGCCCAGGCTCCCACCCACTTCTCACCCTAGAAACCCTGCCTCTTTCTGTCATGTGGTAGGGGACTGGAGCTCCTCTCAGAAGTTAGAACTCTGTGTAATAGGCTGAGAACTTTATTTCCCATTGCACGATCAACCTCTAGCACAGCCTGAATACAGATAACTGTCAGTTCCTGTATACCGAGTATACTGTAACTGAATGTGAGGGAGTGAGGTAGCTGGTCTCTGGAATGCATGAGGCAAACCTTCTTGGGATCCAGACTGGGATGTTTGCTCCTCACTTGCTTTCTGAGTAGGCCACTTGACTTGGATGCCAGATAGCACAAGACCCTCCCCCAAGAATATTCTGTGCTCAACTTGCTGTGTGGCCATACATTCTCAGCTTCTTTTTCATCTGGTATTCAGCTGAGGCAGGTGTGGATTGTGAGAGAAGACAGAAAATGTTCACAGTAGAGGGGAAAGTCCAGTGGTTTACAGCACCCAGGAGTTGAAAACCATAACTCTCAGGCTGGGACCTGATGGAACCAGTGAGTGTCTTATGCTTCATGGAGAATGACTGGCAGCTTCGCTGTAGCCATGAGCAGCTGTAGGGCATTAGCCAGCTTTAACTTCTGGGTAGTGGAGGATGCAGTCTCTGTGTCTCCTGGGGAGCCACTGGGGAGTAGGACAGGGTCCATTGCTCCTCAGTCCTACGAGCCACTTCTCCAAATTTCTTTCTAGCCCCCAGTAAAGTTTGATTCTGTGTATGCACCCAGCCTCTCCCATATCCCTCCATGGAGAGACAGGTGTTTTGTATGGCTCAAGCTCATTCGCCTGCTTGATCCGTGACTCTGGGCCTTGAGGCAAAGCCCAGGCTGAGTCCTGTGCAGTAGTTGTCTCAGCCTGATACTGGCAAAGGGCAGACCCCTGTAACTGTGACTCAGAAAGAGCTCAAAGTGTTGTGAGCACAGCTGAGTCATGTGCAAATGTGCCTCTGATGACGTGAAGACTGAATAGCTCTTCTGGTTGTTTTCAGCACACGCCAAAGAAGATGAGTCAAGGACCTACCCTTCTGTCCTGTGGAATTATGGGTGAGTAGCTACATAGCATGGGCATCCTCTTGTAGTCCTTCCAGCCAGGTGAGACTCCAGAGTAGTCCTGGTGAGACTGTCTTCTGTGTTTTAACTGTTTCAGTGCCCATTGGGGCTCGGGTGGACCAACAGGGTGCTGGGCATTAGAGTGAGGACACTGGTGTGTGGTTTATTGGTATCATTTCTAACTCCAGCATTGAGTTCTAGCTGATCATTAATCAATTCATGCTGATTTTTTTTTCTAGGCAGAAAATATACCATAGGATAGGAAGTAAAAAAATCTATTAAATTCAGGGTTGTATGTGTGTGTGCATGTGTTTTGCATATTTCATATAGCCAAGTCCACCATGAACATATAAGTATATAAACTTTGTTTGTTTTTTGCATTTAGTAATTCCTACAGCATGCAAATGACTCAGGTCCTGCATCTTAATCCTGGGTGATGTGATTATTTTTTTTAATTTAAATTTATTTTATGTTCATTGGTGTGAAAGCGTGTTGTATCCCCTAGAATTGAAGCTACAGACAGTTGTAAACTGCCATGTGGGTGCTGGGAATTGAACCCAGGTCCTCTGGAAGAACAGTCAGTGCTCCTAACTACTCAGACATCTGTCTCTCCAGCCCCAGGTGATGTGATTTTTACAGTCATGGGGTAAAGAGGCTGTTGAATTTTCAGTTGTAATGCCCAGGGGTTCTCTCAGTCTGAGTTTTCATCTTGTATTTATTCATTTATAGTCCCAGAAAGGAACTAAAGAGAACAGAGACCAGGAACCTTTTTAAGACTCTTGGTTCATATGGCAAATATCCTGTCCAGTAAGCTTCTTGGTCTCATGTTTCTGTTCATACACGGTGCCTTTCCTTGTAAAGGGAAGACAGGATGGTTGTATTGGTTGCACACATTTTTTAGTGGTGGGGGGGCAGTGCTCTGATGACTATGTTGAATAGGAGGTCAGGCCTCAGTGATGAAATAGCCATAATGGGATTTCAGACTTAGTACCTTCCAGGGCTCTACGCGGTTGCCATCACTCTCCATTCTCTGTGTCCTGTGGCTTCTTTTCTTAATTTCAAGGCCCTTCCCATAGGTAAGTCCATGAGTACCCAGGGGACCTGGCTCCATCTTGTTGACACTGCCACATACATTGTTTGCAGCTTCAGAGCCAGGCAGGTGCTTATTCATACTAGGGGAAACTGAGGCCCAGTGACTCTCTGAAAGATCTCTTAGGAAATAGAATTAGACCAGGTGGCAGAGAAGGACAATTATTTTCTCTTCAGTATGTGCTATAGTGCAGGAAAAGCTGGATGTCTTTTTTGCTACTGCTACCTTGAGGACATCAAAGCAGGGAAGTCACCTGGCTAACACCTTTCTATGGTATCTCCTCATATGACTGTATACTTCTTTGGTGGCTAATGGCTTTCATCCACCACCACCACCACCACCACCACCACCACCACCACCACCACCACCACCACCACCACCACCACCAATGCCATGGCGCAGAAGCCTGCTGCACTTCCTGATGAACCCAGACTTAGCTTCCACAGAGTCAAACCAGGAACCTGTGCCATGAAGACGGTGGCCTTCTATTACAAGTCTTTTCTGGTAGGCTTCCCTGGCCTTCCACTGTGGCTCTGTATTCTAATGGGTCTGGGCTGTGACAAGAGCCTCAGTAGAGCTGAACTTTTTAACTTCTGAGCTTCACTTTCCTCATCTGCAGCATAGCAGTTGTGGGCTTGTTGTGAGGGCTGTGTGGTAGAGCATTTGTGACAAAGATTGGCACAGGAGAGCGCACCACAGAAATAGTTGCAAAGAGGACTGAGACCTCAGCCAAAGATACTGTTCCCCAAAAGAGGCCTTGTGTCTCAAAAGAGGGACCACAGCAGCTTCCTTTGGGGGTGCGTATAAGTGACAGAGTTGCCCATGGGGCCAGAGTAGAGGCCTGGGGAAGGAGGCAGGTGATCAGCAGCCCAGGTTGTACAGGACCATCTGGCTGTCTGAGTGTGTGGGGCACATAGCCTGCTTTCTATCCAGGGTAGCATAGGGCTTGGAGGAAGTGCCAAACTACAGGTTGACTCTTCTGGAAGCCCTATCCCTGCCTCTCTGACTTCCCACTAGCTCCCACTTCTGCAGAACAGTGCTGAAGTCCTGCCACTCAGCTAGAGGAGTCGCAGGGGGTAGCATCTTAGATGTTGGGACAGCAGCATGCCTGTGCACTCTGCTTCTCTAGCTCCATGCCCCTCGTCTGCCTGCTGCTCAGCTTTCCTTGATTGGGAGAACCACGCCCCATGTGACGTGTTACCAGGGCTTTCATTCACAAGTGGTTTCAGGGGCTTGTTCTCATAGATTTTCATTGAGCATTTAGCATGTTCTAGGTACTTAATGCTGGGCAGAATGAAAGGGACCCTGCCTTAACCCACAAGGAACTTTATGTATAATGGAGGAGCAGGAGCCATAGATAGTAAATTCCATGTGCCAAGATTGGGGAGGCCAGTAGAGCCATTGAGCAGTAGAATCCATTTTCCCATTCCTTGATCTCTTCTTCCAGCAAAGCATAGCTGCTGTGGGTAAGAAGTGCTCCTGCCTTCTGTCCCTTTCTAATAGCTGCCGAGCCAGGGGTCTCAGCAATAAGAGGCTCCCAACTTCCCTGTGAGTTGGAACTGGTAGCTCCCATCACCTCTTCAGCCCATTGACTGCAAGAATGGCAAAGTTTGTGGCCTTGCCTTGTTTGGTCACTGTAGCATTCTGGGAGTGTACCCGAGGCAGGGAGATTTCATCTTGGGTGTGCCCACTTTTCAATAGCAGAGAAGAGAACACCCTGAGGAGCTGGCCAGACTTTTCAAGAGGGTTTTTTTGGCCCTTCCAGGGCTGGACAATACTGAGCAAAGATAAAATGTCAATTATCATAATCATCACCCAATCCTAGGCTCCTGAAGACAAAGGTCTGTGACTCAGGGTTTTCCCTCCTAACCTCATTCCAGGGTCCTAACTGGAAGCCAGTGTGGAGAGCTTCGTAGGTGCTCTGAAGAAAAGCCAGCAAAAGCACCAGGGCTTGGTGAACAGCACTGGTTTTCTGCTTCTTCACAGAATGCTACCCTTGTAGGTGGCTGAGCTGCCTTGGTACCCACTTACAGTCCAGCATGGAAGAATCAAGTAGAAACAATCAATGGTTGTGTTATTTTTTAAAGTGCCTCACTCTTGTGATTGTGTACTAGATATAGACCCCTCCCTATCCTTGTGCCCCTCCTCAATTTGGGAACTTAATACAAAGTATTTTTATACTTTTCTAAAGTGAGGGAGAGAACAAATCTGGGTTAGGTGTGGACTGGAGACACAAGACAAAATGGAGCCCAGGCCTGTCCACCGGCTTTGTACCCAGCAAGGTTCCATCTAAAGGTGCCAGGCCAGCTCCTTCTAGCAGACGTCAGGCTCTTTTCTCACCTCCAGATCCTCCCTGCCCACCTCTGTGCTGAGGCAGAATTTCCCATGCAGGCAGTTCTCTCAGGGAGGCACCTACTTATGACATGAGTTGAGTGGCAGCTCCCAGACTGCCATCTGGGCTGGGAGCAGCACTGTTCCTTACACCTGCTTCTGGCAGGTTCAGGAAGTGTTGGGAGGGTGTCTTGGGTTCGGTGAAGCAGAGGCTGCATATGAAATCTTAGGACCCTAGGACCCTCCAGATGTTCCTTCATGCTCACTTGGGGTTATACGTGTAGCAGCTTCTTTTCTTTTTTTCTTTTTCTTTTGATAAAGCAAGGCAAGTGGGGTGAGCACAGGCCCCATTCATTACCTTTGGCTAATCGCAGCCATTAAATGAGCCCTATTTCATCAGGATAGTAGACACCACACACTCCATGTTTCTCACCACTCAGGCCAGGAGATTAGAAATCACATAAAATGGGAGAAAGCGAAGGCAACACCAATTATTCCCAAAAGGCCACTAGGAAGAATCTTGTAAATACAAGTCAGTGGCCAAAGAACAAAACAATTTGTATGCTTGGGGGGAAAAAGGGACGAAAACCCATAATTACTTCAGGAGTTATGGTAATAAATTATTTATTAATGTAAATTATTTCACAGTCAAGGAACATAGAGGAAACTTGAGCAGAAGGATCATACATTATGTATAAAAAGGAATTGTAAAAACATTATAGCGGCCGACTTGTGCCACTCTGGTTCAGGTTTGTCAGCATTTTAATTATAAGCCCTTACTTTCAGTGTTTAATTACTCGGCTGTTAACGTCTACTCTGAACATAAAAGGGTTGTTCCCCGGGGGCCCTCTTTGAATGGAGTTCCTTGGGAAACCAGTTGGCTGTGTTGAGCTGCACAGGTCTAAAGAGATTTCATGTTGAGGTTCAGCAGGGTTAGATCTTTTAACTCAGCCCCAGTTAATCACTGAAAGTGGCCCATGATTGTGCCTGTATGGAGTAGCTGGCATTTGGGGCTAGACAGTTTCCATTGCAGTTGAATGACCAAAACAAAACGAAAAACACCAATAGCAATACCAGAGTTACTCAGCCCAGGTTTTTGTGCCGTTTTGAATGTGGTCCTTGAGCCAGGGTGTCCTAGAAGAAACCGTTTATGAACTAATGCAGGCTAGCATACAATTTGTTTCCAGTGGAAAGAAGTATAACCTTATACAAGTACATGTGTCTGCTTAAAAGAATAACTCTTTACATTTTAAATTTATCTTTGTTGTGGTTACATATGTATGTGATTTTTAAATCCATACAGAATGCTTTCAGTTCTTCCATGTACCTTTTATTGGTTCCAGACGGTGTGTGGGGTATAAAGTACAGAATGGAAGTACATGGGGTGGAGTTGACACATGATAGCTGTTTGCAGTGCAAAGAGAACCTCCTGGAGTGCCTTCTCACAAAGGTGAGGGAGGGGACCACAGTGGTGCCGGAGTCCAGAGAGTAGCAGTGGCACTATCTTTGGGTGCTGGCCCCTTCGTGGAGAAGGAAGGGCAGTGGGCAAGTCAAGAACAGCCTATCCTTGTCG